TCACAGTGGCTGTGATAGCTCCCACCAGGGAGGCCCAGAATACAGACTATTTTAGCAGCAGTGAAGACATAAGAGGTTGAGAAGTTCTTGTCCTCGTCTCGGTCCTTTGCCTTTTTCAAATCAAAGAATCAATAACTGATTCTCTTTTTATGATATAGAAGAACATAGTTTGGGGGTATCATCCACATGTAGATTTATCAGTGAACCTGTCCTCCCTAGCTGAGAATTTCATCTTGTTATATTCAGAGTAAAAGATGAAGTCTTTCCCCCTTGATATGTAGTCTTCCCTCTGCTCTCCTTGACAGCCCAGGTCCCTTAACACTGGCTATATATTCCTGGTTTGCCCATATAAACACTCCATATATGTGTTTATTAATTGAATTTTCCTTTGCTTACCCATTTTTCTATGATTACTCATTTATCCCAAGAAGAACCCAGAGGATGGTATTTCCCCTGATCCCAGACAGAAGCCACAATGCAAGGTCGCCCCTTTCAAGAAGCAGGAAAAGGGGCCTCCCTGGTGGTGAAAGGGGTTAAGCACCATACTGTGAAGCTATCCGCAGCCTCTGCAGCATGAGTTTGATCCCCAGCCGGCCAGGGAGTTGACCCACATGGCACAACAGACTTCTCCTGTCTCACCCGCTGCTCCCCTCAGCAGTGTATTTCAGTCAGTCTGCCTGTTCTGTTCCCCTCTCTGTCTCTGGTGACTCCTCTCACCCCCACACCTCTGGCCTGTACCCCAGTTCTTGTATGCATAAATAAATAAATCTTAAAAAAAAAAAAAGGCAGGAAAAGGATAGGTTTTTACTGCCTCAAATAAGAATGATCAGGGAATCTTAATGCCCAGGCCAGGACATGAGCAAAAAGCCCCCCTAGACATTAGTGCTCGGGGAGAAAGTGCAGCCACTTCACACCCCCAAGCTTGGTAATACTTCACAGAAGCAGCAGAAACCTCTCTGCCAAGGCCCAGTGAGGCTGGCCTGCTGGCCAGCTCTGACCAAGTGCCTTCCAGCATGGGCGGCAGGCCTGTCTTGCTGAGTCCTCTGCTCAGTCAGCCACATCCTGGGAGGGCTCAAGCAGAAGGGAAACCAGTGGCAAGGGGAGTTAGCTGAGCACTGTGGCACTTTGGCGGCAAAGGCAAGCGTGGGGGAAATGAGCCTGTTGCTTTATTAAAATAGGCCTGCTATATGAAAAAAAATCATCATCCACATACACTTCTACATGAAGTGTCCTGATTACTTGACAAAGAACTGGTGATAGGAAGCATTTTCTTTTGCTCTTCTTCCTTGCACCCCCATTTTCTTGGCAAGCTGTGATTTTGCAGGGGCCAGGCTGGAGCTCCCTCCCTGGGGGTTGGGGAGAAACTGAGCCTGTGGAGCCCACATCCTAACTAACTTGCTTCCCTGGAGCAAAAGCAGAGTCACTCTGGGCCTGTGCCTTTCTAGGGGAACCTCCTCCATGCTACCCACTTACAAACCCACCCACAGTCACTGCCAAAAGAATTTTAAAAAATTGCTTTCCCTGGAAAGATCAAAATAATCTCCCACCTGAGTTTTGCCTGCAGTAAATCCAACCCAGATCCTGTAAGAATTCACTTGAGAGCCCCCTTCTGCTTCATGCGGCGGTCTTCCAACCCCGTTTTCTCTCATTTACTCAAGTTCAATGGCCTTCCTGACACAGTCCCATCCACTGTGACTTCTCAGGCTTCAGTCACCTTGCACGCCCTCTGCTTCTTGATCTCCTGCACCCATTCCACACATCCACACCTGTCCCTACCCTTCCAGCCTTCCTTCATTTCCAGACAGACAGGCAGAGTTCTGATGCCTGCTCTGTTCAGTGTATTATCAACAATCTCCTCTTCTGCCTGTTTTCTAATGGATGGTGAATATTGTCAAAACTTTTGCATTAAGAAAAGAAGGGAGGGAGGGAGGGAGGGAGGGAATCAACCACAGGAAAATCCAGGCTTTTCACCTCTCTATGACCTGATACCTCTTTCCTTTCCCTTGGAAATAATGTATTTCACACCTTCCAAGGTACACATTTTTCCTACCTTGGTAACATCACTGAAACTGTAATGTGTCTTTTAGAGGCCAAAAAAGCATCATGTCATAGCTTAATTGCGGTGCTTTCTTTCTCCTAATGGGAACAAAGAGTGACATGTGTCTCAGCATGGATGACACTGGCAGTGATGAAATGCTGCTTGCTACTTGAAAAGGGCTGCTGAGTTCCCCTTTGTGGCCTGTGTCTTTTGATCCTAAACTACTTGGGTCTGGTTTCTTTTCCCAACCACTCCACTGAAAAATGTTTCCCCATGGTCACCCAGGGACCCCTAACTCTCAAAACCCTTTTTTTTTCCATCCATGTTTTATTGACTTACATGCTGCTTTTTGACACAGGTGGCCTCCTGAAATCTACCTCCCTTGGTTTCTGGGGCACATGGTCTCTCCTCTTCTACCTCCTCTCTTGTACATCCAGCCTCCTCCAGGGGCACCCACTCTCTAGTCCCTGAGCTCCGTGATCCCCCGGCCTGTCCCTCAGTCCTTGTGTGCAGACCTGAGACCAGGACAGGCGCTCTTACATTGGCTTTCTCTTTCCCCGTGTACACAGAGCTCCCCAGTCTGGTGCCTATGTGAAGTTTTCTCTGGCCACCTGCCTGCAGTGTGTCGCTCCCGGTATTTTTTCCTTCAGCCAGAACCTCTCAACCTAGAATCATTTTCTTCTTAAGGACACATGACAGTGTCTAGAGACATTTTTTGGTTTTCACAACTTGAGGATGATTCTACCAGCATCTGAAGGCATTGGCCAGGGATGACGCAACAGCTTATTGGACATAAGATAGGCCCATGACAAAGAGATACTCAACCTAAAGAGTCACTAATACCAAGACTGGGAAACTCTGCTACAAGCACTTCAGCAGAAGGGCACCCAGACTGAACTTCCCTTACACATTTCCCATCAGGGCATGCCCTCAGACCCTGTGGCCACCCACGCATGTTCCTCCCACTGGGCAGAAGCCAATGGACACTGTGCTTTGCCCATCTTCCCATTTCCAGTCCCTGTCACAGGTGTGAATGAAATACCTGTAGTCCAGGCAGTGTTAGCAATGAATGGAAAATGTGATTGTTGTCTGTCCCCTACAACTAGATACACTGTAGCTGTGTGAAGGCAAAGACCCTCACAACCCACCTGTGAGGATGAGGAAGGATGGAAGCAATGACCGGAGAAGTGGAAGATTAGGGACAATTGAGAAAATTTGTAGTACCTTTGCGCTGCCTCTGGATGAGTGTGGGCTAAGGCTGCTGACCACAAAGTGGGCAAAAGAGAAAAGCCCAAGAAAATTTGATTGTATCACTATTTCAAAAAATTAAAATAAGTTTGAGTGAATATACAGGGAAGATATAAAGTAGGTGTAGGTTGGTAAAATGAATTTTTTTTTTTTTAAAAGCTACATTTAAAGAGAGGGGAATCCAGATTGTATGGGGAATAGTAGATGTATTATAAAGTAAAACTGAAGTAGAACAACTGCCAAGAAAGCAAAGAGGAAATACTGAAGATGAAAAGGGATGAATATTTTAGGGGTGAGTCCATTTTTCCTTCTTATTTGAGCATTCTTCTGTTCCTATTCGTGCAATATGTCTTTGGATCCTAAAAATTGGTTAAAATAAATCTTTGTGATTCATGCAGCTTTGCTATTTTATCTTAAATTCTGCTTCCTCCATGTCTCCTTCCCAGGAAGCATTTTTTAAAATGTTTTGAGCATTACCTGCCTGCTGTTTACATACGCTTATTGGAGTTCTCTTATGCCCCAGACTTGGGGGCACCCCTTTCCCTCCTTTTCTTCCAATTAGCCTCAGTTCTCTTATTTGGACTTATTACACTGCATGGATATTTGTAAGCTGAAATTCATACCTACGTCAGGCATAAATTCATTTTTCATATTTTTTTTTCGGATTCATTTGGACACTTTATGTGAGGTTATACAAGGGAATAATTTTGGATTTATGGGAGGAAATTCTCTTATGACAGGAAAGCACACAGCGTCCTAAGACGGCAGAATCCCTGCTAGAGAGCAGGGCAGGGCATGTTGGTGACCTAAGGGCGTGCGGCCCTAGGACACAGGCTTCTGCACCCACCCGTGTGTGCACGTGCAACTCAGCAGCGGGGATAAGCGGATGCGCCACCTGCCCCTGCCAGCGCGGAGGACACGTGCTGCTACTTGGAGAGGGAGGAAACGCTTTCACAGTGGTGATCTGGTGACTAATATTGAAGAGAAAATATAAATACCAGGACAAATAAGAGAAATAGCTTCCACTTCTGTCTAATGTCTGTTATTAGGGCCTCCCCTGTGGCGCAGCGGGTTGAGCACAGCACTGTGAAGCTGTCCGCAGCCTCTGCAGCGCAGGTTTGATTCCCGGCCGGCAGGCGAGCGTCCTACATGGCCCGGCAGACCTCTCCTGTCTCTCCCGCTGCTCCCCTCAGCAGTGTATTTCGTCACCCTGCCTGTTCTGCTCCCCTCTCTGTCTCTGGTGAATCCTTTCACCCTCCTGCACCTCTGGCCTGTACCCCAGTGCTTGTATAAATAAATAATTCTTTTTAAAAAAAGTGTTATTAAAAGTCACATCAAATTAGATCTTCACAGGCAGGATTTTCTATTAGCGGGCACTAGGATGTCTCTGACACAAGAGGGTAATTAATATATAAAAGAGAAACACGTTATTAGACATTAAACCTGGCAAACTGATAAAATGGCAGCAACGCCAGGCCCTCTCACTCTCCCAGCGGCCGCCCCCCACCCCCAACCCCAGCCTTCCCGAGGAGGGGGAGAGGATCTGGTGGGAAGGGCTGTGGGGCAGGGGATGAAGGGGTACAGGACTCCACTGATCGTGTGAGCGCGGGGCTGTGTTCAGACAGGCTCTCAGGTTTCCAAAGCAGGCCCTCTTTTCATTCACCCATGAATTAAATAAATAACCTGATAAATATTTCAATACAAAGCCTTTTTATTGACATTGTAAGAAACATTGTTCTTTCTTTGTTACAAAAGGACTAAGTGGTTCCGAAAGCAGAGTCCGTCTGTGGCGGCTGCGGCCCTGCCCTGCGGCCCCGGGTGGAGAGGGCAGGGCCCCGAGCAGCTGCAGGCTGATCGAGGAAGGCCCGGGCCGGCCGCGTCCGCACGCTACGCCTACAATACTTAAATGTATTTACACGTGTTTCTTTTAAAAAAGGATTACACATTTCATTTTTTAAAAATCTAAAAAAGGTGAAAAAAATGAACTTGTATTTTATCTTACACATTTGCAGGATACACAACAGTAACTTGTCAGAAGGGAACATCCTCCAATCAGTTCAAAATAGCACAGGAAACCAGGTCACAAGACAGCTCAGATTCTGCTACAATCGGGTACCCGCGGCTGGTAAGCCGCAGCCTCGAGCTCTGATTGGGCAATGCCAACTGGTCCCTCGCATCCATAAGAGTAACATAAAATAAGGCACATACATCGTCAGAATCAAAACTCCAGCTCAAGAGGATGAGCCAATGTGTGGGGAGCAGGGGCAGTCTCATTAGTTTATTTTTTTTTTTTTTTTAGAAAATAAAGCAAAATGGTTTGACAAAAATGTGTTTAACACAGATGTCAAGCAGGAGGGCCATGTACGAGCCTCTATTAAAAAGCAGGATGTGACACTGATGAACTGGCACCTCCTCCCTCAGGCACAGACCAGAGATGTGCAGAGAAGGCTGGAGGCTGGCGGTGGGTCCCGCCATAGGAGATAGCAAGTCTTGAGTTCCTTGTCCAGATAGGACACTTCTAAGTGGCCTCACATGAGCTTCCATCCACTATCATCACAGGTCACTGAACTGGAAGAGTCTAATTTCTTCTTCCCTCTCCTCCTTCTGAGATTTCCATAGAGAGAAGGCAAATATTAAACTGAAGTGCGTCTCCTGCAAGTCTACAGGCAGTAGCAAGGGAAACAAATATGAAAGATAAAAGTGAAGAAAGGGTCAGCCAGGAGGGTCTCCTGAAAGCACAGGGGAGGGCTGAGGGAGAAGACTGCAGTGCTCACCCCAACCACCGTCACGCTTCAAGGTGACACAGGCGTTATGGTAACTGAGAAATGCAGGTCACAACCAGGAATACCTACTGGGAAAGGGCCTTTCAGAGGAAGACAGGGTTTGGGTCAAACCATAGAAGTATGAGAGTTAAGATGGTGATCTGGAGATTTTGAGACTCACGGAAAAATGATTATTTGGGGAATGAATCACAGATTTCATAACCAGATCGTAACCTATCTGAGAAACAAAGCAAGTCTTGCCTTTTCAGTTAAAAAGTGGTAGATTGGACACCACTACCCTGAGATCAGCCGTTGTCCTTAAGCTTTTTGGCTGTTCCAAATTGGGTGCATCCTTTGATTTAGAAGGCTGTGTGGTGGAAGGATGGCAGCAGGAGGAGAAGGTATCTCAGCACCCCTCTGCTGATCTCAGGAGCATCAAGTCGAAAGCAAACCCAACTCTCTTAGCCTGAAAGTCAAAGGGCCAATATACCTCCATTCTGAGAGTCTTGGTCCAAATGACAGACCATAAACATGAGAAAAACAGGCTAGTCCTAACATTCTTTCTATTAGCTAATATTTCAATTTACTTGATTTTGTCTTTCTAATACTAATTTAAATAGCCGGAAGAAGGAGGAAAAGTCACACAATTGATCATGAATCACTTTGGATAAACCCAACTCCAGGGTCAAGGGGACAGAATACAGCAAGTAGTCTGAGATGTTAATATTTTATTTCAATAGTTTACATTTTTTAAAGTAAAATGCTGGATAATCCATGTACTCTGTGCACACATAGTATGTCTTTTATGTGTATCAACTGCACATGAGGAGCTTTACTTTTAAAATCTTTAAATGTTTTAATCCAAAACAAAATTAAAGCTATTAGTCCACATTAGGGACTAACTGTATCAAACATTTAATTCTTCAATGAATTCAGCTTTAATAGATAGGAGGTAAAAAAAAAAAAGGCATCAACACAGCTACTAAGCGTCCTCGCTTGTGCTCTCAAACACTAAAAATGGCTGAAGAAATTTATTTCAAATGTCATTGTATGTGAGCTTTTCCTTTTAAAACTAAGTTTCATAAATCCCTTAAAATAGGATGCTTCGCACAGATGTACTCTTTCACCATAGTGGAATTAATCCAGGCTAATGACAAGGCTGGCTATGGGGTTATTTAAATACCTATATACTTAGAACTATATATAATCAATTCTCAGTTATCTATGATAATGGGGAAAGAGATGAAACTAATCAACAAATACAGAAAACCCACAAATAAACCCCAAACTAACTCTACCCAATAGCTTCGATCTATATCTACCTAACTTCTTACCAGAACAGATGCAGGCAGCAATGTGAGCGTCACCAGGTGCCCTCCCCCTCCCTGAGCAGCACTGAGCGCTCACGTAGATGGAGGAGAGAAGGCAAACTAGATAACTGAGAACTGACCATATAGACGTACCACCCAAAGCATTCTGATGGACAGGAAGAATTTTAAACTTAAATGTTAAACTTAAACGCTTTCATTTGCAAGAGCCCCGGGTTTTCACTGTTTGCAACTGTGGAACGTATGTCCTGATCTGAGTTAGGGCTGGGGAGCGTGCTAACAGTCTGTTACCTACACTACAGTGCACCCACAAGAGTTAGACTCACTCTCCATATTCGGATTCTTGTGCCCAATGTGGGAACAACAACAACAAAAAAAGTTGAGTATATGCAAAGGAAAGTTTTAAAAGCTGGAAGTGTAACCTCTTGGTCATAAGCACACCAACTCCTGTCTCCTTTGAGTAACAGAGAAACATGCCAAATTCTTTAGTTTCCCCTCTTCTTCAAAAAAGGAAAGAACATGCACAGCACACATTTACACTGGTTTACTAAAGGGGGCGGGAAGGGTGGGCTTACAGTTTTAAAAAAAAAAAAAAAAGAGGGCGGTTCGAGTGTAACAATACTGATTCAAAACTGAAATGAAAGACAGTTTCTCCCTAGAACACTTTAGGGTTTTGCAGAGTCCTTTTCCATAAAAGGAATATACTTGAAACACATCCCAGTAAGGTGAGATGAGATTACTAAAATACATACAGAACTAAAAACATAAACCAGCAAAAAACCAAGTCACTTTAATCTTTTAAACTCCTAAAGTTTCACGTCTGTTGGCAGTCCTTTTTTCCTAAAGCCTATTGCATAACGGCAAGGAATTTGCTTTCTTCCGCGAGGGAGGTCAGCAAAGAACTCATGTCCCCGATGGCCATGTTGGTGGTGCTGACGGAGAGCACTGGCAACGGGAGGGACGCTCGCGGTGTGGTGAGGCGGGAGGAGCTATGGGAAAGGTTCTGAATGATACTTGGGCTCAGGGCTCCTGACATCAGGCTGGCGTGGTCCCCATCATCTATGATGGCATCAAAATCTATCTGCACCCCTTCTAGGTCGTGGCTGTCGAGGCTGTCGACTGTGCTTGTCACCTGGTTAGCACCTGGGGAAAGTAACTCCGAGTTTTCAGCACTGGTCCCCTGCAGCAGGCAGCTAGCTTCGGAAATGGAGAACGAGCCAGCTTTCATGTCCTGCTGACTGAAGCCCATGGTTTGGTCATAGAACTGACCAGAGTAACTCTGCACATTGGAACAGAGCTGATGGGGCTGCCCTTGCATCTCCATCTTGATGCCGTTCACCCTGCAGGTCTGACTTGTGTCACTGAGCTGTCCTTGCTGGAGAGCAAGGCCACCCCTTGGAACAGCCTGGCGCCTGCTGCCCCCATAGCTGGCACACGGTTGGTAGCCCCTGATAACTGCCAAGCTTGACGGCTGGCTGCTGATGCTGGGAGGCCCTGGTAGGCCGCCTTCCGGCCCTTGATAGACGTTGATGTGTGAGGTAGCACTAACCTGCCCTAGCATCTGCTGACCTGGGCGGCCTGCCCCTTGGGGGTTCATGCTGTCGCTTTGTAGCTGATGAGCCAAATACCTCTGTCCCACTGTGTCTTGGGTCAGCACGCCATTCACTGTGCTGCCAGCAGACTCACTTGGTGCCACCAGCAGGCCAAAGTCTGGCAGGCTCCTGTTCCCTTGCATGGTGGTGCTTTTCAGCTTTGACACTTGGATCCCAGCACCACAGGTACCATCAAGTGAGCCGGGGAGCCCTGACTGCCTATTGAGGCAGTTCCCATACTGCTGGGTCTTGTAGGGCTGTTCATGGAAAGCGTTTCCGTTGGGGACAGTGCTGCCAGTTTGGCTCACCAAGTGTTCTGGACCACTGTAGGAGATGCCATGCTCCCCAAGGGTCTGATACCCTCCAGCTGGGCCAGTGCCATTCCTCAAGGGATTCTGTGGGTGCACGCCCATGCTGTTGCATAAACCAAAGGCTCGAGCCTGCTGTACCGGGCCCCGCTGGCCACATTTCAGCTTGGAGGAGGACAGGTCTGCACTGCCCGAGCTGACCTCATTCCACTGAATGGGCAGGTCGCTTTTGTTGGCGTCAGTGCTGGGCTGCTCCAGGCCACGGTACTGCTGGCTGGCATGGTTATCTGGCAGCCCAGCTGGGTCAAGGTCACCATGGCCACTCCCCAACTCAGGCCCATGGGGCACTTTGCTGTCGTCAGAGATGGCACTCTGGAAGTGTTGCTCATATCCTACCAAGTTCTGGGAATTTAAATACTGCACCACATCATCGGGCAAGAAATCCTCATCATTCAGGTTCACTTCTGAGTCCATGCTCAGGGACTCCAGGGTGACATTCTCAGTGATGCTGGGGGGGCAGGGAGAGGAGTGGAAGTGGCGGGACTGACCACCCTCGGGCCGTGTATAATTCTGAAGCACTAAGTTACGCTTTTCCAGGGATGAAGGCAAACCGGGAGGACTGAAGCTGTTAAGGCTGCTGAACCTTGGCACCCTGGGCAGGGAGAGGCTCTCTGAGACGGTCCTCACGGGGTCGCTGGCTCTTCTCACACCATTGCCAAGCCCATCATGCGGCAGCAGCGGGCGCCGGCCATAGCTGTGGGCACCCCCATCGCTACATCTCCGGGGAGGGTGCACAGGAGGCAGCGTCCCTGTGGCCTCGCGGGCATCTCCAAGCAAGGCCATGCGGGTCTTCAGGCTCATCCTCTCCATGTTGGGCAGCGGGGTGGGTGGAGGCCCACCGGTGGCGGCCGCGTACTTGGCTTTCAGGCGGTACTGCTGGGCGGGCGTGAGGCTGAGCAGGCTGGGCAGGCCGTCGCACTGGCTGACCTCGCTGGACCGGCGCGAGGCGTCAGTGGAGATGGGGTCATAGGAGTCGGCCACACTCACGTTCTGGGGCCGCCCCTCGGCCTGGGACGCTTCGCTGGACCTGCGGCTGGAGAAGCAAGGCGAAATGCCTGAGGAGCGGCGACTGCTCAAGTAGGCCGAGCTGATGGTGCTGGTGCTGCTGTCCCTCCTGTTGAGCATGTTCAACATGGTGATGTCCACCCCAGAAAGGTCGCTTCTGTTCGGAAGAAGGGTCATCGGCCCACCCAAACTGCAGCTATTACTGGGCTGTGTGCCTGCAGACAAAGAATGGGAGAGATGGATTCATTTCAGGATGACTTACAGCTTGTGACTGCAAACTATAAAGGGTCAGGTAGTAACTATTATAGGCTTCCCTAGGTAGGACAATTTCTGCCACAAGACCTGCCACCATCTCTGTGATGCAGTGTCCAAATGCCACGGTGACAGTGATGGTGAAGTGGGTGGGGCTGCTGTCAATAAAACTTTATTTACAAGAGCTGGTGGCAGGCCCCATGCCTACCTGAGTGTTTGCCTGCCCTTGGCTGAAACAGAACTCTAACAACTTCCTGGATCGGTTAAGTGTCTTCACAGGCACAGTGCAAGGGAAAAGGAAGAGTCCCAGGAGGTACATACACAATGCTCAAGTTACAGGTAAGTGCACAGGCCAAAGGCATTGAAAGGCGTATTACTTAGCCACTCTAAACCTCATATCCACATTCAGGAATGCTCCAGATATTCAATGTGATCTGACAATGGGAAAGGCTGCTTGTCTTTCTTTGAAAAGGGCAAACATCAGTCAAGATGGCTACCAACTGCCTGCTTGTTGATTGTGGGAACCAGAGGTAGGTAGTGGTCTCACATGCCTCTGCTGCTGGGAATTATTGTCATAACTTCACCATCAGGATGTGAATCATTCATGTAGTCTTTTGCTTTTTGTTTCAGTATTATTCTATTACTACCTGCTTTTTAAATATGAACTCTGGAAAGATACCATTACTATGTGTGGATACAACATAATTTTAGAACTAGTGGTGAAATCAGCAAATATAAAACCAAGGCCCAATTTTCACACTGTTCTGGTTGCATCAAAACACAGATGATTCTGAAGGGCCATGCCATCTATCACAGGACTCACCATTTCCTATGAGAGGAGAGACAGCAGGGGCTTTAGGGGGTAGAATAGGGTTCGGTCGAGGAAGCATTCCATTCACTTGTTTGAGTCTTTCTAGTTTTACATGCTCCATCCATTTGGTCCCTGCCGGGTTTCTCCTGGCCTGCAAAGCAAGCGCCGTGGTTGCAGTGGAAATGGTTGAGTCCATGATTGGGGTTTCATCAATGGCACTGAGGTCTCCTACACCACCTCCATCAGTCAGAGGAAGCTCGAGCCCACTGTTGGAATAGTTGCTGATGGGGGACTGTTGGCTGCTGCATGAAGACTGACCACCAGGGCTTGGCTGAGATGTCTGTTGGGGTTGAAAGGAAGGGAAAGAAATGTTACCAGTAAGGAAAAAGAAAAGTGAGCCAGTAATAACAGAGCATGCAAATCAGGACTCTCAGTGGCTTGAATGAGAAGAGCTATGTTCTGGTGAATGGAGGTGGACCCTCTGGACTAGAATGACTGATGGGTCACCAGGTGGATATGCAGTAGGGGGTGATGGACAGCAGGAAGTGCTCGATGTGGTATGACTGGCATGACACCACCCATGGAGTCCTGCCCCAAATACCACTCTGCAAACACACTTTCTCAGTTCCAGTTCCATTTCCATGACTTTATTCTTTGGGCATATTACTTAGCCACTCTAAACCTCAGTTTTCTTACCTATAAAATGGAGCCAATTTATTTATCTTAGGGATTATTATGGGAATTCCATGTGAAACCCTGAGAACACAAAGTATAAAAATACCTGGATAATAGTAAATGATTGGCCCAGAGAACACTAGCAATTATTAGTAACCCCAGTGGCTTCCGTCTGTGGGTTGAGTTTGCTTGGCTAAACCAAACATGGAAATGTACACTGTACCTCCACTTGAACAAAATTCCCTCTGTGCTATTCAGAGCTGTTTCCTTCATTTTACATTTTCCTGCTTTGCAGGATCTCAAGCAGGTAGTGGGTAAAGAGGTAAAACTTCAACCACTTAGCTCCTGCTATACTCAGAGTGGGAAGAAAGGCTTTAAGTCAAAGGCACTCTGAATCGGGGCAAAGATCTTACTGCTCCCCTCATGTGCCCCTAGCACTTCACTGGGAGGCAGTGTTTCCCCAATCCCAACCAAATGGACTGTGTAAGGCGACAGTGCAAACAGATGGGAACTTAATCTAACCCATTGGTTGTCAATCAGGAAAAGACTCCCTCCCAGGGATTCCTGACATGGGGTGTAGAAAGCTCACTGTCCCATGTTAGGAAAAGCTGCAGCGTCCCAGTGCAGGGACAACAGTTGCAGTGAGCAGTGCCGACAACCGAAAGTGGTTCTTTCTAAAATCCCACTCTCCCTGGTTGATAAAGATAAGAAAGTGATATTCAGAGCAGTCCAGTGACTGCCCGAAGTCACAAAGTCCGTGGGGCAACCAGCCTAACTCCAGACTGGTGTGAAGCCCAGTGGCACTATGAAAACTGGGGTCTGACAACAGTGAAAAGGGCAAATTCCCCAGGGAGGGATCGATCATGCACTGGCTCACAAACTGGCATCTAGGTAGAATGCACTGCACTGTCGGGAAGGGGCTTTGGACGCTGGTCTTATCAGTGGAACCTGTGTAACTTTTTCTGGACCCACAGTATATACACCCAAGCAAATGAACACTTTCTATGTGCGTGCCGCATGATACAAAATTCCTCCTGGGCAACCAAGCAGAGCAAACTTTGGTACACAAATTTGTCATGAGCTACAAAGACTTCCTTAATTTTTTGATTCAGCAGATTCTCTGCTCCTTCCTCAGACTTTTGGAGCAGGGCTTTGAATGTCTTTTGGGATGCCTTTTACTCTTGGGTTGCCAGATCAGAGACAGAGAGAGAGAGAGAGAGAAAGAGAGGGAGAGAGGGTGTGTGTGTGTGTGTGTGTGAGGGGGGGGGGAGAGAGAGAGAGAGAGAGAGAGAGAGAGAGAGAGAGAGAGAGAGAGAGAGAGAGAGAGAGATTCTGTATGTGACTGGCTCAGAGACTCACACTTCCACAAGGCACAAAGGAAGGCCAACTGCACTTATAATTAGAAAACTGTTTCAATAAAAGTCAAATTGCTAACAACAAATGTATCTATATCTTCCTCAAGTAGGTGTTGTGCCTGTCCCAAGGACACAATACAATAGTCAATGTGATAATCAAATATTTAGTCTTTGAGAACATCTGCTTGGTCGGCCCCAGTGTGTCTTATTATGAAAACCTAGACATACAGAACAATGGGTTTCACCATCTAACTTCACATTTCCACATGCTGAATGTTCAAAACACATTTCCTTCTATATTTAAAATATAGCTCAGCAATGTTCACTACCAAAGATAGCACACAGCACAAGAACTAAAGAAAAGATGAATAAAAGTTAAATGTTAAAATGAAAACAAAATAAAAGGAGCAGAGAAACCAAAATTCCCTCACCTTATTACCCACTGTCCTTAGGAAGTGAGAACAAGACATTTAGGAGCATTATACAGAAGAGATGTTGGATTAATAAGAAAAAAGAAGAAAGAATTTAATTTGTAGCATGATGATCAAATCAAAGACAAATTTTTACAGAAAGAATACTAGAAATGTAATCTCATATGCATTAGCAAATGTCTGTGAAGATACCAACCTATATTTATGTGCATACATATGCCTCATGATCTACTGAGGACTGATTGATTCACCAAACTTACTGAGCCTCAGTTTCCTCACTTATAATGTATGGGACCTAGTCCCAATCTGTATGATCTCTTCCAGCCCTATGTTTCCACAATTTCATTATCTTATAAAATAATTCACGTTAGGACACCTCCAATGTCACTGAGCCAACAAATCACTATGCGTTCTTATTTTCTATCAATTTTCTATTTAAATAATGGGTAGTGGAGAGGAAATGACAAGTTTTCTTGTGTTAGGGATATACATGAGGAGATAAGGTTCTTAGGATGTTGTCCTATGAACATAAATCATTGTCTATCAAGACATACTCTCGGTGTCCACAAATTCAATTTCCTGTTTTCGTTCAATACAAACTGCTGAATGTTCTGGACATATTTATACAGGGAGACCTCATTTTAGGAAATAGATACGGGCTCCTCCAAAAAAGTATATAAAGCACAGTTTATGAACTGGTTAATTTTAAAAGGTAGTGATCAGTACTAACACATATATAAATTTTTTACCAAGGTGTTTTTTAAAGGCAAAGTACAGTCACCCACTAAAAAACAATGATACTTATTTGCATTATTTTTGGTTAGACTCAATGTGAAGACTTCAAAGTTCAAAGACAAACACAGTAAGTCATTAATTTGCAGCTTCCCACCCCTTCAATGCTTGAATTTTATGTGCATTATTTTCCGCATTCCATACTGCTGGATAGTCATGGAATTCACTCAGGAATTTACAGGATGTACATCCAGTTGCTGGACTTAGCTAATATTAAGTGCTTCCTTAAACTCAGTATAAAACTCCCTGGGGCTTCCCTGGTGGTGCAAGGGTTAGTTAAGATTCAGCACTATGAAGCAATAGGCAGCCACTGCAGCACAAGGTTTGTCCCCTAGCCAGCCAGGGAGCTACCCACATGGCACAGCAGACCCCCCCGTCTCGCCCACTGCTCCCCTTAACACTGAATTTCAGTCAGTCTGCCTGTTCTGTTCCCCACTCTGTCTCTGGTGAATCCTCTTACCCACCACAACCCTGGCCTGTACCCCGGCTCTTGTATGCATAAATAAGAAAAATCTTAAAAAAAATAAAACTGTCTGCCTGATTATATCCATGCATGGAAGCATGTGACTTCTACCTGGTACATTTTCTCCGGAGTCTGAAGAATGATAGACTAGAACCCAACACATCCTGCAGAGCTGACTCTATTATCCTACGGCCAATACAAATTTACTGAAGCTCCCGACAGCTACTCTTTCATTTCTCTTGTTCTTTGGAAATTTTTAGATGTTTTGTAATAGCACATAAAAAAAGCAAGATCACCACATGAAGTTTGAACAGAAGCATAATCCACACACCCTTTGTCACCAAACCAAAAAGATTTTCACCTATGACATCTTTCAAATTTCTCCCTTGTGTTCCCCGTCTGTGGGTCAGGCACCACTGAAGAAACAATCTCCAATCTGTCAAGCCAATCACTAGGCTGGCACTGATGTTATCTTTTCTAAAAAATCAGGCATGCATGTCATTCCCCATCACTAGCAATACATAACACCTTTTATCCTCACCCCCCACCCCTTTACCCCTGTGTGTCCCTTTAAACCCCATGGCTCCTGTGTGCCTATGCCAGGACCTGCTCCTTCCCCTTCTGAACCCTGAATGTGGAGGTAACCCCCTCCCCCACCAGCTCAGCATCCTCCCAGTGAGTTGATTAGTTCCTCTTTTGAATGCATTTTGAATCCATCACATTGAGATGTAAGTACTTGCTTATTGGTGGTCTGCCTATCCCACTGAACTATAAATCCCTAAATAATAGACTGGGCTTAGTTGTCTTGGGGTCATCAGAGCAAAGATGATAGAAAACATGTTTACAGAAAGACTAATCAAATTATTTTCTACAAATCAGGGCCACTGAAAATGCAGTCATGTCTTTCTACCTCCCACAAAGAGGGATGGCTGCAGATCAATTTTTAAAAGACAGGAAACCCTGAAGCTCTTTTGAACAGGATTATTCTACGTAGTACAGTGATCAGCGAGCTTATGACCTCCTTAACCAGGTGGCAGTGAGGACCGGGGCAATCTACTGCCTCTAATGCCCTACGGAGCTCTCCTAACTAACCTGCAATGGCTCTGGGTAGATCAGAAGGAAAGTGAATGACATACCATGGGCTTCTCTGCCTTGACCGTTTTCACCTGAAGGCATTCCTCACGCTTTGAGGTAGTCTTGCTGAGATCCTTCTGCTCACCAAGGGCTCCCTGAGTCTGCCGGCCAGGCGACCTGGACTGTGAATGGCTGCCAGAATCCCGAGGTGGTGGGGGCCGAGGATGTATGTCCCCACGCTGCTTCTTGGTGACATGAGCCTCTGGACCATGCACTGTCTTTACATGTTTTCGGAGGGAGCTTGGGTCTGTGTAGCGTTTGGTGCAGCCTGGGATCTTGCACACGTATGGTTTCTGTCAAATGCGACGAGAGGGAAACAGATTGTGATGAAATTGATTATGTCCCAGTTCAACAGTACTTTGTGATTGCTCATTATAGTCTTACTCTTTCAAAGTACTTTCAGAAAATTTGCGGTGTTTAAATATATCTAGATACAGATTTAACAAAGGCCATTTAAACCTTGCACAGGTTCCTTAAAATCTAGCTTTCATAGATGATTATTTTGGATCTTGGAAGAGCCGAGAACATGTAAATTGCCTTTATGTTCTTGGAAACATTTACTCCGGGAGTGGGAAGATGAACGATGGTTGCACTGTAGGTACTCAATAAATATTTGACAATTAAAATGATAGTGAAGAAAAAGGTGATAATGATGACATAAGAAGGTTGAAAAGATACCCATCAGCTAATTAGAAGTCTACTTATACCTTTCACAAGAGCGTATGTGAAGAAATTTCTTATGGCTGTCCTGGTTCTCATTCTAATATCACATTACACCTTTGAAAATGAAATTTTCAAATATTTTTTTTTTAACTTGCCAACAGGCTCTGGGTTAGATCCACTAGAGTGTGTTCATTTGCATAGCATTATGACTATGATGTCCAGGGCCCAAGGTACTTAGAGCCTTCCTGATCTTCATTTTATTTATTCATTCATTCATTCATTCATTCATTCGTTCATTTATTTATTTATAAGAGGCATTTATTTATTTGTTTTGTTTATTTATACATGCACTGGGTATAATCAGAAGCGCGGGAGGGTGAGAGAATTCACCAGAGCCAGAGCGGGGAGCAGAGCAGGCAGAAGGACCGAAGTACACTGCTGAGGGGAGCAGCGGGCGGCAGGCGAGGTCTGCGGGCCATGTGGGACCCTCCTCCGGTGGCCGGGGAGCAGCCGGGGATCGAACCGGCGCTGCAGAGGCCGAGGGCAGCTTTGCAACCCAACGCTCAACTGCTGCGCCACCGGGGAGGCCCACCTTCCTAATCTTCAAAGTCATCAAGCCCTGTTAGACTGTTCATGACTTGGAAACTAGAAGGGACTGGGGGTGGTGTGCTGCACAGGTCTTCTGAGCTGGGCTCTACTCCCAGATGCTATCAATTATTTCATATGCTAGTTTCATGTTCTATGTGGACTGGTGATCAACCCTATAGAGACAGTATATGGGCACTTACAGTTATATGGACACTAAATATTTACTCATATCACAGAATTGCTGTTATTTACTCATGACCAACATCAGAATTGTGAATTTGTTTATATGGCTTCAAGTGTAATATAGTCATGGATGCTTTTATGAGTATATACTTACATAATCTATATACCAGAAGATGAGCTGGTAGGTAAGCAATAGTCATAAAAGCTATGATTAACATAATACTTCCATTATGTCACAAGATATGTCCTGTCTTATAGACTACATGTGTCTCAAAGATGTTTTTGCACTAAAAGCCCAAAAAAAGAATGCTACCTAAAATTAAGACATGTTTTAATGTATTGAAGGAGAGATTTTGAAATTATCCTGAGAGACTTCATCTCCAAATTTGAGATTCTTCTGGGAGGAATTGATTCCCCATTAACTATGAATTACTACTATTCAGAAGCTCCTGTGATTTGCAGGTATATATGTATATATATGGTGAAATGAGCACATCGAATTCTATTCTGTGCATTAGGGCCAGAAGAATGGCTTTGCTGATTAGTGCTATTACTTTGGAGTGTTCTGACATCAGGCTTATGCTTGTTCACTGCTCTGCTCAGACAGGCTGTTCCATCAGCACACAGCCTGAGATATAGGGGGGGAGGTATGCAAGGGTAGGAAGCAGAGGGAGCACAAAGTCAAGCCAGTAAGTGTGCATATGCACATTGTGGGCCTGGATAATTCTACAACAGTTCATCAGAGCCCACATTTCCAAAGACAGCAGCACAGCCACACGCCCTCATGTATGAACATGTACAGTTAGTCCCCACTTCACACGGATGACAGGCTCTGGCAACTTTAAGTGAAACAACACCTATAATGAAAGCAGATCTTCAAATGACAAAGTCTGACTCAGCAACATTATAAGGAAACAGAGCACAATTAATGGCAGTATTTTAGGAGTTGTTATATATTATCCACCTACAAAATCCCTTAAGAACAGAGGTTCCACAACAAAACTTAGTCACCCAATTATATAACTGGGCCTCCAAATTCTGTTGTGATCAACACGAAAATGACATATGATTGTAGATGAAGCTATATGCTGTCAGACTTGCTGAATTATCCACATTTTCTAGATATCTGACTATGAACCTGGTCATTACAGTTTGGTGATTCTCACTGATCTGAAAGGTACTTGGTGAAAACAACTGATAGTTTTTCTGCTTGACTTTGCAGTATTTATTCAGATGAAATTTTCAAATTATCCAGATCAATAGTTAGTGATACCTACTATATGCTAGACTCTGTGAACTCAATATTTTAAACAATGGAGTTTAATCTCAAGGATTATAAAATGTACTAGGAAAAAAACAAGACAGCATGTGATCATCTACAAAACGAAGCTAAAGCAAGTGTTTCAGCTGGATGACCAAGGCGGGCAGCTGTTATTAAGTTTCTTGTCTAATGCCCAGATCCCAGATCAAAGGTCAGGGCAAGAGTTAAATAAGATGAAGCACATGAGGTGCTTACTATGATATGTTGCACATAGTAAGTTCTTAATAAACACAACTTTGATTAGAAGGCCCCAGTATAGTTGGGTTTAGAAAGAAGGATAAGATTCTGAGAGATAAAAATGAGGGCAAGAAGAATGCCAAAAAAGAAGTGTCCTGAGCAAAGGTCCTGTGGTGAGACCACTTCATGCACGTGGACATGACCTTCAAGCACAGGCTGTCTGGAATGTTCCTTTCAGGGTGATGACAGTGAGAGGTCAACACTAGAAGAGCAGGCTTGGATCAGGTGACAGAACAAGCCTAAGGAGTATAACTTTTCCTATAGGAAAGGGGGAGTTGTTGGAATTTTCTGGAAAAGGAGATACAACCCAAACAGAGTTTATGAAAACTTGCTTAGTATGGCATTGGGAGGAACAGGAACTGTGTAGTCTGGAATAGGGAGTTCCATCAGAGGCCACCGCTGTGGCTCGGGGCAGTCTTGAGGGTGAGGGAGGAATACCAGATTGGTTTCTCCCAGGGGAAATTACTCTCTGTTTTATTCCATCATATTCTTTTCTGCACCTAGAATAGCAAAATGCTTGGCACATAACTAGCTATCAACATTTGTTTGGTGAATGAATAAAGGTGTAAATAAGCAAGAAAACATCTGGATTCATGTAGGATGGTCTAATTAAAAAAATCTGGATTTCCTGAACAAAGATATAATTTCAGTATATCTGAAACTGCCTATCATTCATATGCAAAGCCAAGGCCTTATATACATAATGAAAAATTATTTACATGTTTATGAACAAAATCTTATTTAGTGTTGAGGATGGATCTTAATAATTTAAATAAAATGCTCAGTGTTGGGGAAAAGTCACTTCTATTTCCCTCTCCCTGATGCCTCTGGCAATCACTAATCTATTTTTCTGTGTCTATGAATTTCTCTATTCTAATTCCTGAAGATATTGTACAAAACACGAAGAGCAGACACGGCAAGTACTGCACACAGTAAAAGCACTTGTTACATAAAAAAAAAAAAAATCTTTCATAAAATATCTTCAAGCAGTTGCTCAATATTAAGAGATTCCAAATGACTGGAAATTTCCTAATTCTACCATGACCCTTTTAAAAAGACTATATACGAACATGCGTGTATGAGATTTTATGTGAGCATGTTTTTCCGAGAGTGGGCTAATCCCATTAGAGATAGTTTTGCTCTATCAGTTCAGCTGAAAGGAAACTCAGGGCAGACTCACCACTAGAGCCAAACAGCCAGGGAACTGAATGGACTACTTTGTTTTCCCCAGATTTTCTCTCCCTAATTCTCTAACTGGAAGATCAGAAATGGGCTTAACCGGCATTTTGTAAAGTCAGATGACAGCCACACCAAGGTCAGAATGCTGTTTCTCAGATACACTGCAAGCACACTAATAGCATGTTTGTGGGACAGAACTAAGGCTCATGTTAACAAATTCTGGCTAGCTCCTATTTCTGTCCAAAATGTGGGGATCTCTTCTGTTAATCTCTTAATTCATTCAAGAGTAGGTTTTCCAGAGGAGTCTGAATTTGAGCTAGACCTTCAAGGAAAAGATGGAGGTCTCCCAGCAGACATGCATTAAAATGCAAGCAAAATGTGTTTGAATATAAAGAAACAAAGTACGGACAAACCAAACCAAGTCAAACCCTTATTTTCTGAATGTAGAACTTAGGTTGCAGGTGGGGACAACAGGTGGAGGGGGTTCAAGAGAAGGTCTTGGAGGATTATTGGTACTTTGGTGCAGGGTGTGTTGTGGTATCATATATTTGAAGAAGTGTGAACCTGTACTCCTAGACAAAATGCATTGTTGTAAACTAATCTTAGTTAAATAAAAAAAGGTTTCTCAGTAAAATAAAATACTATTTAAATAAAAAAAGGTTTCTCAGTAAAATAAAACACTATTGATTTTTTAAAAAAATATTTCCTTGTGCACATTAAAAATGATTTAGAAATAATTTTCATTGTTGTATTTCTCTAGAGTTTGGGGGGATAACTACCTTAAAATAACCACAACACAAAAGAAGTCACCAACTACCATGAAAGCTTCCTTCAGCATATTATTTTAAGTAATTGACTAGAAACCACTCTGGGTTCCAAGAACAGTTTCTGAGATCCTTTGCAATTTAGAGTGTCTGGAAATCATAGCTAGCCCAGACTGGTTGTTCTGTCAATGCTTTTCGATATGATGCATTATATAATGCATTTGAAGATAACACCTGGAAAAAGAAAATGAAAGTATGTCTTAGCGGTGAGCTGTCCGCAGCTGTCAACACAACACTTCTGACTTGAGCCAGGGCGCTTACAGGGTCATGGTTAGCATGAATCCACGCAATCCCAGGCAGAGCTGATGGGTGGAACTCTGGCATAAATGCTCCTATTGTTTGACCAGTAGGTGGCAGTTCTGAGCAATGTGAAACTTACTGGCCAGGAGATTTAAGAAGTTGCTTCTTCATGTGCATTACCTTCCCCACAGGGTCAAGTTTTCAGCCCTGCCTCTGAGGTACACACTTCACCTGTCAGTGACAGCACCTGCTCCTTCTGGGAGTGGTCCCAGGAAACGCAAGAACCTGGCCACTGCTCCATGCACATGCCCCACCGGGGATTGTGTATCAACCCGTGAGCTCTGGGCCTACAGCGTCTGTACTGGAGGAGGCTCACCTCATTGGAATGTGTTCTGTTTTGGTGCTTGGCGCGGTCTGAGGCGTTGGAGAAAGCCTTGTTGCACCCTTCATGCTCACAGACGTACGGTTTCTCTCCAGTGTGAGATCTCAAGTGCGTTTTCAAGTTTTCTAGTCTCGAGTAGGCCTTTGTGCAACCTTCAAACTGAGGACAGCAGGTAAATCTGGATTACTTCACACAATAACAGCTTTTGCCTAACACTCCCTCCAAGTTGATGAAAGACTGATGTTTTGAGGGTCAGTAGCTTTTCAAAACCAAGCAACAAAAGTCCACTAAACTCTGCATTTACTGGGATTCAGATGGGGCTCAGTGCTGTTCCCGAGAAAGCACTTTTAGTGCTAGTAAAAGTCCTTGAGTGTTTTTTTTTTTAAACAGACCACTCAATGTGGACAATGGATTTCATTATCTGCTCATTGATCTCCTCAAATTCCCACTGATTTCAGATTCAGCACAAAGTTCATTAATATGGCTTTGTGTCCATACAAAGGCATGGAATTTGATCATGTTTGTAAAAGGCCTTTAATATGTAAAGTACCAGGGTTGAGCAGTGCTCAGGGCGCCTGGTGGACACCTTAGTGAGAGAAGGCTTAGCTTTGAAGGAGTCCCAGCCCCACATGTCCACTGGGACAGACTAGGAGAACACAGAAAAACTCGAAAAGCCTAAAACTGCAAAGTCCTATCTTTTGAAAACAAGCTTTTCAAGTCAAAATTGGGCCCCCCTCTGGACTCCGAGTCCTCTGGCAAGACAGCATTTATGCTGGGAAGGCACAGTGGCCTTGTGCTCCTTCCTGGTGCCAGCCAGCTGGCCCCAACTGCGGCCTGCCCACTTGCCACTCTGCAGAACTGCCACTGCTAGCCATGCAGGGCTCTTTATATTTAAACTGCAATTATTTTAAATTAAATTAATTTAAAAAATCAGTTCCTTGAATGCTCTATCTACATCTCAAACATATCCAACAGGCACATGTGACTGTGGCTACCTGGTAGACAGTGCAGGTCTAGAATTCTGCCATCACCCCCCAGGGCGTGGTTGTCATGTTCCTTCTCCAAAGGTCTGTGGCCCTTCTGCAGGCAGCTTTCCCTCCACTTCAGAAATGCCACTGGACACCCCCCTAGGCATCAAGTAGACAGCTCTCCACCGCCCAGTCACACCTCCCCTGACTGGAGGCCCAATCCTGCTGTCCCCTCTGCTCAAGGCCGCTGTGGGCCCTGCCCGCTGCGTACTCACAGTGCATTTGTGAGGCTTCTCTCCCGTGTGTCTCCGCATGTGCACCACCAGCATGTACTGGGCTTTGAAGGGCTTCTGCTCCCTTGAGCAATCCAGCCACCGGCACACAAATTCCTTCTTCTCTCCATGAATATGGTCGTTATTTATATGCTGAGGTTTGGAAAAAGAAAGCGAAATAAAATGCAAATGCATTGCTCAATTTTTTGTGAGCATTTTTATTATTTTTTAATTTTTACATCATTTTCATTTTTGCACAATGTATGCATTTTCATCTTGGTTATAGTTTCCATACAATTCCCACCCCCCTTGTTTTGATCCTACTCCTTCCCCCCCGCCCCGTAGTGTGTCTCTGGTTTATAGTTGCTTGTTGATTTTGATTTTTACTTTATCATAATTAGTCTTTTCCCTGGTCCCTTATTTAGGTTTTCTAAATTCCTGCTATGAGTGAGACCATCTGGTATTTTTCTTTTTCTTTCTGGCTTATTTCGTTGAGCATGATCCCTTCCAGCTCCATCCATGTTGCTGCAAATTGCATGAGTTTATCTTTTTTGATTGCTGGATCAAGAAGATGTGGTATACAAAGAAACGGAAAGACATCCCTTGCTCATGGATTGCAAGAATTAACATTATCAAAATGGCCATCCTACCAAAAGCAATTTACAGATTCAATGCTCTTCCAATGTTTATAGCAGCACTATTTACAATAGCTAAGCTATGGAAACAAACCAAATGCCCAAAAATAGATGACTGGATGAAGAAGATGTGGTACATATACACAATGGAATATTACTCGGCAATCAAAAAAGATAAACACATGCAGTTTTCAGCAACATGGATGGAGCTAGAAGGGATCATGCTCAGCGAAATATGTCAGAAAGAAAAAGAAAAATACCGGATGGTCTCACTCACAGCAGGAATTTAGAAAACCTAAGTTAGAGACCAGGAAAAAGACTAATCAATACAAAGTAAAAATCAAAACCAACAAGCAACTATAAACCACAGACACACTACGGGTGCAGGGGGGAGGAGGGATGGGGGAGGAAGGACTAGGGTCAAAATAAGGGGGGAGGTGCAATTGTATGGGGAATATAACCAAAATGAAAATGCATACATTGTGCAAAAATGAAAAATGATGTAAGAATTATATAAAATAAAATATTAATTAAAAAAGATGTGGTACATATATACAATGGAATATTACTCTGCATTGCTCATTTCTGAAGGTAACAAAAGGGAATGAAAAAAAATGCCTCAACTTAAGCTTTTAAGACCACATGATAGCTTTATTACAATATAATATAAAGCACTTTGTTCAAGTTAATCTGTCTCTTAAGCACACTTGCCCTTACTATGTTTGTGTATTTCCTAATCTGCGGAAGTGACAATCTTTGGTGGAAGCCTGGCACCCCAGAGAAAGGACTGTACAGGGCCTCTGAAAAGTGAAGTTATGAAATGGGGGGAGCCACAAATTTCCTTTTTGAGCCTCCATTGTACTTCATCTGCCCAGTGAAGGTTCACACTCTCCTGGCCCCCCTGCAGTGCTCTATGTCTCTATGTGGACTCTAGCCTTGTCTCAGACTGCAGAAAGAGAACGCACACGTGCACACACACAATTATGGACTAAGGAGCAATAACCAAAGCACTCTTTGAAACCACTCTATAGTTCTGATCAGTGATACTAATTCTTGAATAAGAATCAGAGAGAAATGAACTATATATTGAAGCTGAAGACCATCTCATAGTGATACCAGCAGTCTGTAGTAGTTTCTTAGTCTTAGCTATCTTCATGTGTGGGATATAGTAATGAATTAACTCATTTCTAAGTTTCTCTCTAGCGCCATAATTTTATTAATTTGGTTTTAAAAATGAAGATGAATTTTCTGAAATTCTTCAACTCAGAGAATCCCTTTTCACATAGTTTCTTGGATTCACAAATCAAGTATACTATAATGGGGAGGCATGAGAAACCCACAATAGCACCAGAGGAAAATGTAGTTCTTAATTTGCATCAAATTTAAGTCAATTTCAATAAGCTGAATCCTGTTACAGATTTATGAGGAAATTTGTGTTCTAGTTTGATCCGGTTAGTTTTATTCTCTGGTCACCCTGCATTTCACTTCCCTTAATGTAAGGCTGTTCAGAGTACTTTCTCAAACATACATATAAATACACCACTAAGGGCCTCCCCTGGTGGCACAGATGGTTGAACGCAGCGCTGTGGAGCTGTCTGCAGCCTCTGCAGCGCAGGTTCAATCCCCACTGGCCGGTGAGAATCCCACATGGCACAGCTGGCCTGTACCCTGGTTCTTGTATGCATGAATAAATAAATCTTTTTTAAAAAATACACCATGGTTCTTGTATAAATAAAAAAAAAAAATTAAAAAAAAACCACACCACTAAAAACTCTGGGAAATGAAAAGAAGCTGCTCTTTGGTTCAATGTGCGGCACATAGTGATAGAACCTGCAGTCCTCTCCTGCCTGGGCCTGGCTCCTAAGTGAGAAAGGTCTGCAGATGTGCAGCCAGATGTGCAGATCTGGCCAGCCAGATCTCATGGTCTGCCTTTCCCACTTTGTCCACTAGGGGGCCAGCAACGCTAGGGGAAAATGAAATTTGCTCTTTCTGTAGATTAAAAGTCGATGAGAGCAGAGCAAAGCAATTACTATTCACTGTCCTATCCTTGAGCAGTTCTCAAAGGGCAGGCTAAACAGAAGACAGCCCAATGCTAGGCCACAGATCACAGGAATCCTTTCAGAAGTCAGAACACAAGGAAATCAGAGTATCACTCAGGATCACGCAGACACCGACCCCATGGCAAACAGACATGGATATCCTATAAAAAGCCAACTGTATTATTAGTGTTCTTTAAAAGTTATGCTGGTGCACAGAAGTATACAGGGAGAACACATAGGCTGCACAGGGGACAGCGTGAAATCTTTAACCTAAAATCCACACAACACGGTGGAGTTCTAGGAATTCTTTTGAGGGAGAAAAAGGAAATGATCACACAAAACTACTCATCAAAAATTCATCTTGCTTCAGCACTGGTAGTTTTTTAAGTTAAAAACTTGGAAGTTTTCCTAGTTATTGGAAATAAAGCTTGAGTCCTGGGATTAATGTACATGAAAGAAAAAGAAGGGAGGGAAAGATAAAACTGGAAAACTGAATTAGAATTTGAGCTGAACCTCCTCCCTGAATCTGGGATCTACAGCTTTTCTTTTCCTTTCATTTTCAGCAATTGAAAAGTCCTCCTGGGGTGTGGCAGGCCTTTGGTGAATATTTTTTAAAATTAATTATGATTACATGAAGATTTTACATAAGATATTTATTACTTTAAAATATACTACCAGGAGCTAAAAAAGGATTGGAAAGTTATCCCTATAGGAGCCCTGTCTTTTTGGGTGGAGTCAAGGAATACACAGTGACTATGGCAGTCATTCATCTTGCATATTCACAGGATGTAGCGCGTGCTGCTCCACCCGGGGAATCATGCTGGAAAATCAGACATGATTCCTGCTCTAAGGAAATTACAGTCCATTGGCGAGAAATGGATAATGACTTAAATTACCATACAGTTATAGTGGTGATCAGTGCTATGAAGGGAAAGAGGGTTTTACAAAAACAATTAACAGGGAGTCCCAAATCAGGGTCAGCTTCTCCAATGAAGCGGGATTTAAAATAGACCTGGAGAGTGACTGGACATGGGCCAGACAGATGTGCAGGTAAGGGTGAAAGTGGGGAGAAAAGGAAGGCTTTGCAGGAAATGAGATAGAAACACATGGAAAAGGGCCAGAACTTGGTGTCTTTGAAGAACAGGTTGAGGAACACACATGGTGGGGATGATGGGCCAGCAGACACAGGAGGCTCGGAGCACTGCTATGGCTGGACGTAGTTAAGGTATGAATTCCCATGGCCAGGATAGACCACTGAGGTAGCTGAGTTTGGTCCTACCTAAAATGCAGTGTGCAGCAGCAAGCTGTGGGATAGACTCCCGGGCAGAACCCATACACACCCCACCAGAAAGTCAGAACTTTGGAGACTTGGCCTTGAGGAGGAGGGCTTCAACATTAACTGGCATTACTTAGGGGAGATGGGGATGACTAAATAGGGAGGCCTCAGCAGTGGCCAGTGAAGTAAGAGTCTTGTCTCTGCCTCATCTCTCCTCCCATATGCTGGAGAAGCCAGACTCCGGGAGGGGAGAGGCAGGCAGTCCCCTCGTTTAGGTGGATGGCAGGAGAGGCGCAAACTCTCCCAGGCCCCTCAAATCATGTGCCTGGCTAGTTTGGAAGGGACGACTCTGAACGATTCGGGTTTGTGGTTTAAACTGGATAGGCTTGTAGGGATGGAACGTGACTGGGAAGTTGCCTGAGAGGTTGTGAGATCACCGTCGCTACATGGAAGGGAAGAACCTACGAGGAGCTGAGGAGAGAGGTGATTGGCAAAGTCAGAATGATTTCATATTTACACCTTGCTGAGTTTCGTCAACCTTGGCTTCTGGGACAACGTCCGAAAATTCAAGTGTCTGGAGTCCTGTGCTCATCAGCAAGTGTTACATCCAGTGTTGCCTCCGACTAGGGGGATGGAGGGGGGGGGGAGAACCTGTCTAGACAGTGGGAGCAATCTCGTTTTCTGAAAGGTTCAGCATCCTAGGAATATTCCCTTTCTTCCCCCTGAAAGTGTCTAGATAGACCTGAGTTCTGTCCAATACACTTTTGTAATTTGCTGAAACTTCTCTTGAGTGCAAACTTGGATTGAGGCCACAAGTTATTTTTCTTGAAATGAGATCCTATGATTTTGGCTGGAAGACCAGGTCCACTTTGCTCGTCCTTAGGTCCAAATGCTGAACTCAGGATCATAATCAATTACTATAAAGAAAATACAGTGATATCTTTCAGCCTTTTTACGTAGTTCAAATGCATTTTATGCTTAAAATATTTCTAGGAGCAAGATTTCAAGTGCAAATTAAAATTCTAAGAAACCATAAACTTTCCATGTCCCCATGTCCTAAATATTTATTTTACTTTTCTTTAAAAAGTTGCTTGACCTCTGCAGCAGTGCTCATGGAAAGTTCATTTAGGGTCAACGTTTTATGACAGTGAAAACAGTATGGGGTGTGTGGGGGGGAGGGGAGGGACATCAGGAGATGCACCC